GGGGCCTCGCTTCTGTGCCCCGGGCGCCCCGCGAGTTAGGTGGATGAAGGAGGGAGGGGCGGGCTTGGCACGTACATGGGGTAGGGTATTGGTGGTGTTGAGGGGCGGTCGGTTCCGTGTAGAAGTTTACTGAATGAAAGAATGAGGAAGTGGCATCTCAGGGGACGAGAGGATAGCCTCAAAATGGAGGATGTCAACTGTGTGCCCACAGCACCCAACATGAGGCCTGACAAGTGGGCGGCATCAGGAAATATTAGCTGAATTAATTATTGACTGAGAAGCAAGGAAGGGGCTAACCTCGGAACACAGGGCGGGCCTGACAGGCAGAGGCAGTGGGACCGCTGGGATAAGAGTCATCTTGGGGAGGGTTTCCAACTCAAAGGGCCAGCGAATATTTAATGAACTAAACAGCAAGGAAGCGGCTGGTGTTTCAAGGATGAGGAGAGGGTTTGCCCCTGAGCCTGAGAAATTGGAAAGGGAGGAAAGACAGGATGGAGCCAGATACCTGGGGACCCCGCCTGGTGGGCGGGGTAAGGCAAGAAGGACCCGGGAAGTCCGGAGGGACAGGGCATCATCGTAGAGTGGGGCACACTTCCGGGGAAAGACAGGAGGGGAAGGTCACGAGGCTTTGGAGGAAACCAGCTAAGCCCCTGTTGGGGTCACCGTGGGCTCTGGGGATAAGCTTAAGAGGGGACAGCCTGGAGAGACAGCCCGGAGGATGGCAAAGGTGGAAGTAACGGTGAGTCAGTGCCTGCTCCCAGAAGGAGCCCAGGGACTGGAGGCTGAGATAGTGGTATCCATGGGCTCCTGCTCCAGGTCCTAGTCTCGGAGGACATTGATTGTAAACAGAAAAGGTGGGGAAGGGGGCCTCTGTACCTCCTTGAGGTTCTGGTAGTGGGGACTGGTGTTCTGGAACGCTGAGCAGAACATCTGAGCCACCGTGTGGCACAAGAACCTGTGCTGCTCGTGTTGGGGAGAGGGGTCATCAAGAAGGGAAGATGAGGGGAGGAGGGATGGAAGCCCTGCCTGTGTCCTTGGAATGAGGGGACTGAGGCTCGCACCTCTGCACAGCCGCAGGCCGCTGCCTCCGCATCTGGAGCACCATGTTAAAGAAGCTGAAGTTAGGTGGGATCCTCTGGGGCAGAGAGATGGGGCACTGAGCAGGACCAAGTGGGCATGGGATACCCACAGCACACTCACAGATGCCCGCATTGTACCTGGGTCAGGAGCAACTGCCTCACATAATCCACAGTGCACAGGACACCTGTTCGCCCACAGCCGGCGCTGACAAGTGAGAACCAGAGTGAGCTCTGTCAGGGCCTGCTTGCAACCTCTTTTTAATGGGGCATTTGGGGCTAGAGGCGAGGTCCCTAACATGAGATTCCCTTCAGGACCTCTTGATTCCCAGAATCCCCAGATTATAATTTAAAAAGAAAAAGTTTTGAATTGTTTACATTTGTTGAGCATCAACTGTGTGCTTACTCCCCGGCAGTCAGTCTGTGCTTAACAAATGCTAACAATTTCAGACAATGCAGCATGAGCGAGTATGGCCTCAGGTTTCTCAAAATAGCACTAAGACTGCAAGACTGGATCCAAGCCTCTGCTCCCCACCTCCCTCCCCCAGCGCTGTCCCCTCTGCCTCACCAGACCCTCATAAAGCCCATTCCCTAAACCTGCAGTAGACACAGAGGGGACCGGGGCCAGATCCCTGGAGGTGACGGGCTTCCTCCACCATAATGAGCATGTGGTCAGGATTGCTGGGGATCCCATGGTCTGGCCAGGACATATACTGCAGCTGGTGCACAGAACAGGATTCCTGAAACACAGAAAAAGAGGAGCAAAGAATATAAATGAAAGAAAAAAAGAAAAGCACTTATTGGAGCACCTAGTACCTGCCACACCCAGTTTAAGAATCTTCTATTACAATCTATCACATAATAACTGAGGAGGTAGGTACTATTGCGAATGCCCATTTTGCAAAGGACGAAGCAGACACAGGAAACAGCTCTCCTCATGTGGAAGCCCCTTCCCCTCCTTCCCTTTCCATACTTTCTGGAATGTGACCTGGAGGGTTCTGAGCATGATGTCTGCATTCAGCCACGTCTCCTTTGAGTATGTGGGGCAAGTTGGAAGAGGGAGGAGAACAAATATCACAGGTGCCAAAAGACACGTTTACAGAAAGCGAAGCATTCCTGATTAAAAAATCAAGTATAAAAATATATTTAAAGAAGATTCATTTAGCCCAAACATGCCCCAAAGCTTTCATGAAGGAAACATTTAACAAAGGGGAGAAAGAGGAAAAAAAAACAAACAAGCCCATTAACAGTGAAAACAGATTTCTTTTGTTCTAAAAACAGTTTCATTCTATTTATTAAGTACCAACTGTATGTATGACCTGAGAGATTTCCCTGAGTTCTTTTGAAATAGTAAGAGAAATAAGAATTTCAAGAACGTAACCAGTCACACTTACTTTACAGAGATAACTGTAATCACAGCCGAAATAAAAATGCAAATATTGGGTTTTGACTATTTGCACACTAACACCAGAAAGTTCCCTGCAATGTGAGGGGACTGTAGGAAAATGATTCATCCTTTCAGACCCAGCCCAAAGGCTTTCACCCTTGGAATCTTCCTTGAAACCTCCCACAACATCCAAAGCCCACTGAACCCTGTTCCCACCTCTGCCTCAGCTCACCAGGGTGATGCAGAAAGGCCCAATTTGCAGTGGCTCCTGCTCTTGGGCCCAGTAACACTCACATTTTTTCTGCAAAAGGTAAAGGAGAAAGGGCAGAGAGTGAAGAGGGGAGTCACCTTCAGAGTTCCAGTTCAGAATGTCCATGCTCCCACAAGACACCCCAGGTGGTGCTGGCGGAAGCACTTGCAGCTGCACCTACAGTGGAAGCCAGCTGGTACAGCCATCAGATTACACCCATGCAGCTTCAATGGAAGTGAGCTGCTGACCATGCAGGAGAAAGATAGCCCAGGATACCTTCTCAGTGTAAGCAAATAAGTTGTAAACTAAATTGTTTACAACTGGACAAAATACATGAGCCACTATTTTCAGACATTGGATGACAGGCATTGCGGGACAGTGATCACTGAAGAGACCACCCTGGCTTACTGCCTGCCTGGAGGTGTCACCAGGCTGCAGGACATGAGGAGTCCTATGACCTCTCAGAATTACGGAGTCAGAGGTCATGGCTGAAGGATGTGGAGGCAGATAGAATTTGCATGGCAGAGTCCTGCAAAGAACAGAGCTATGCAAACAAAAACAAAACAACCCTGCAGAAATCTGCATAGTGGTTACCCCACCCCTTGAATCTTTGGCTGAATAATAATCTGAGTACATATAGCATGAAATCCAATGAGGTGAGACAAGAATAACTTCCCAAGAAAGAATAATGCTAGTGACCTGTAGGATGAAGATTCCCTAGAGTTCACATGGAAGAGGAATAATTTGCCTTCCTCTAGAAAGAGTGGAGAGGCCTCATAGATTATCTGGGGCATTCAGCAGGGAACCCAGAAGGACCACACATTAGAATTAGAGCTAAATTAGTTCTAAAATAAAGGCTACTCTAGACCTGCCCTAAAAGATCTTAAAAACAAATCTCAAGATGATCAAACATCCGAAAGTAACTTAATTGCTTTCCTGAAAAAGTAAAACACCCTTTAAAGGAAGGCAACAGAATCCAACACATACCTGAGTAATATCCAAAATATCAAGCATTCAATAAAAGTGTACTAGACTACAGAAGAATAGAAAGAAACAGAAAAATGTGAAAAATCAGTCAATAGAAAAAAGGCCCAAAAAAGCCAGAGATGAGGAAAGAAGCAAAGACCTTCAGATAGCTATTATAAATATTATAACTGTACTCAAAGATGAAGACGAAAACATGAACATGATGAAGGGTGAAATGAGAGATACATAAAAGACCTAAATGGAACTTCTGGAAAGGAAAAATAAAACATGTGAAATGAAAAAATAATTGTCTAATAGCAGATTAGACACCAGAAGGAAAGATCATGAACATAAAAACAGAGCAATAGAAACTATTCAAAATGAAAAAGAGAAAAATAATTAAAAGAAAACAAAAACCAGAAAATCAGTTCTTTGTGGAAATATACCAAATGGTATAATGAATGTGTACCTAAGTCCAGAAGGAGAGGAGACAGAGAACAGAAATTATATTTGAAGAAACAATAGCTGAAAAATTCCCCAAATTTGATGAAAGCCACAGATCCAGGAAAGTCAATGAACCATAGGAGAATAAACAAAGAAAGCCATACCAAGGCAGATCATTATCAAATTGCTGGAAAACAATGATAAAGAAAAAAATCTTAAAAGCATCACACAAAACAAAGACACATCACATACTAAGGAATGAAGATAAAAATAACAGAATTTGGTCAAAAATTCTGCAAGTCAGAAGTCAACGGAGTGGCATCTTAAATATGACAAAATTTTTTTAAAAAACTTTTTCAGGCAAATAAGGCTGAGAAAATTCATCACAAGAAAACTTGCACTATGAGAAATATTAAGGTAAGCTCTTCATACAAAGGAACATGAAACCAAAGGGAAATACAAATCTACACAAAATAATGAAGAATAAAGAAAAAGGCAAGTATATGGTTAAGTGTAAAAGATATATCTCTTATTTTTAACATCTTTAAAAGATAATCTAGTGAATTTTACCAAACAAGGAAGAATTAATACTAATCTTTCACAAACTCTTGCAAAAAATTGAAGGAGACCATTTTCCAACATATTGTATGAGGTCAGTATTACCCAGATACCGAAACTAGACAAAGACATTACAATAAAAGAAAATTACTAATCAATATCTTATAAACATAGACACAAAAATTCTTAATGAAATACTTGTAAAGGATACCAACATTAATAAAGCAAATGGTAGTTTTAGCAAGGCCAAAGCCCTTTAGTTTAAGATATAGCCTAACTTTTGAGAATTGCACATAGAAATGCTAAGCTTGGAAAAAAGCAGAAAACTTTCCCAGGACTAAAGTCTCTGTTGTAGATAAAAAATTGTAACACAGCAAAAATGCTTCCTCTAAGGGCAGATGTCCCTGGTGCAGCTAAACCTAACAATGGGAAAGTCCTCAGTTGTTTCTTTAAGTTTCTTGGGGAACTGAGTGTTCCCATAACGATTATCTCATTGTTCTTATTGTAGCCACCTATGTTCCTTTTCTGTAACTTTCTTGCCTGGAGAATAAAAACTGAGAGAAAACCTCATTCGGGGTTATTTCTAGGAATGCTGATCTCTTGAAGGATTTGCCTGGGAATTAACCCCTTCCGGGCATCTCACTGTTCTGGAGAAATGGGCTTTGAGTAATTCTTTGCATCTCCATCACCCTGGGAGAGGTGACAATACTAGCAAAGTATTAGACACCATGACCAAAAACCCACAGATAACAACATACTTAATGATGAAAAACTGAATGCTTTGCCCTGAAGATCAGGACCAAGATAAGTGTGTTCACAGTTGTCACTTCTACTGAACTTTGTAGTGGAAGTTCTAGCCAATGCAATTACAAAAAAGAGACAGAGTGAGATACAGAGAAAGAGAGAAAGAGGAGTAGTAGTGGTGGAAAGAAGGAAAAAGGAAGGGAGGAAGGAAAGAAGGAAAGACACTCAGATTGGAAAGGAATGAACAATCTTCCTCAATTTATGTATGACATGATCTTATATAGAAAAATGCTAAAGAATGTACACACATGCACACACGCACACACACAAGTACAATATTAAAGTTCAACACACTATTAAGGTTCAACAGGTTGCAGGATACAAGATTAACAAAGAAAAAATCAATTGTATATCTATATAATGTAAACTATTCAGTTTGCAATAAGCAAATAAAGAAAACAAGTCCATTTACAATGACATCAAAAGGTATAAAATACTGGCTGGCTGATTAGCTCAGTTGGTTAGAGTGTAGCATTGTAACACCAAGGTCGAGAATTTGGTTCCCCATACTGGCCAGCTGCAAAAAAAAAA